GTCACTGCGTTTGACATTCACGAGGAACTAAGAAATTTGGGCTGGAACCCGAGGATGTACCAAACTTCATTGCCATATTCTTGGTACGGCAGCAACCAAGCAAATTCGCCGTGCGATATTGATTCAGCGATTCATTTTCGAAATGTCACGCGAATGAGTAGCATGCCTTGGAGAAAGGAAGCTTCCGAAACCCTTGCTCAGCTCACCGAGCACACCAAAACTCACCTTGCTCTTCTAAGGTTATCTTTCAAGATACCAGCGATGCCCGTTACGCGTTCTTCTTCACGGAGAAACAGGTTGTTCACCGAGAGGGCCGAGCACAGTTGGGCTTCTTCAGAAGGGTCCAGCATGACTATTGTATGCTCGGATATGGTCATGCCGCACAAGACCCTTAGAAAGACCGGGCGCGGTGCTACTGCAGTGATGCGAAACGGCAACCATTCTGCTCGACCACAGGAAGTCTACACAGAAAGCGATTCAGAGCCAGAAACACTCGTGTGATGCGATTAGTCGTTTTGCGCTAACTATGCATTACCTAGCCATACTTGAAGCTGCGAATTTTGGCCTTAGCATCTGTACACCTGTCTGTTTCGTCTTTAAACATTAGCGTTATGCCATCTGATGTTCGAAAACAAAACTTAGCTTTGTTCGTTCAGCACTGATTGACAGGCATCTCTACGCAACCTTCATAGACGATTAATAAACTCTGCAATCGTAAATACTCCATAGCTGTCGTAATAGTCTTACAGGTAAATGTTTTCTTTGCGCGTGGACGAAAGTGATTTCTAAAGTTTCACATGTAACCGTAAAAAGAGAATTGCTCTACAGTAGAGCAGAACTTAGCTGGAAGGGAAGGAAGACACGTTGTTCCCATTAGCTTAAAAACAAGGAAATTAACTCAGAAGAAAACAGGCCAGTCTAATTTATTTAAATAATAATTCAGGTTTTTATTCTGGGCCCAATATAGATAAGTTGAATGATTCATGATCCAAGGCACCAAACACCGACACTGCAGATTGTACAACACTTTATCGCTGACGCGTTTCGAGAGGAAGATCGAAGCATCATTATGGCAAGGTTCAATCGAATTTGTTTATCTTTGATTGTGATTTTTATTGTTTTTCAACGCCAAAGTGCAATATTGAAAGTTTCATTTACATTCAAATCTACTTCAAAGGTCATCCGTCATTTCTTACAGGCGTACTCCTGACGATAAGCATCCAAAATCTTTAATTGTTCAATAAAAAGTAATTTAAGAAAATACTTCACCAGACTGAAGCTACAGGCAAAAGCGTTGACCTTGTTACAGGTCTATATACCCAATCTGAACGGAGATTATGAGTTTTTTCGTGAGGAAGTGTATGGAGTGGAGTGAAATACAGTGTGCTCTGTAATCAGTGTCGACTTCGGAGAACCTAATTGTAATGAACGATTTTAATGTGCATATGCTTCAAAATGGAAAGG